ATGCACACCGTCTCGGGCGTCCCCCTGCTGCGTATTCCTTAACAGTCAACGAGACAAGATGAACTTTGACATTGCGTGTCAGATATCTCTCTACATGTATCAGTACATCGCCACACATGTACATCTATATATATATATATATGTATACACGTATACATAAAAAGAGGGAGAGCGACAGAAAGAGAGAGAGAGAGAGATCGACACCACTGCCCTGCCCTCGTCGCCACGGCTCGATTCGCTTCGAAATCTTTGTCAGGAAGCGCCCTTGGGGAGGCCCAGGGATCAGCGTTGTAACGATACTCCAGATTTCGTAATACAGGGAGGAGGGTCTCATTTCGGGGGGGGGTCTCTTCCAGGCTATCTATCTCGGAGGGCCTGGTGGGTCTGGGGACGATGTTTTGAAGGGGTCTCCCACGGGGAAGGTCTGAAATGGCTTGTCTTGGAGGGTCCAGACCCCCTCCCTTTTATTACGAAATCTGGAGTACCTGTGGGTTCCCCCCGCGCAGGCCCAGCGGCAGCTCACCGCCGGCGGGCTCGAGGAAGCCGGAGGAGAAAAGTCGGCATGAGCACGGGAAGTTCTCTCGCGCATTGGGGGGGCGCCCACCCAGACACGTCGACTGCGGAAGTCTGCGCGGGTCCATTCGACATTGGGATTCGAGCATGCCAGTGCAAGCCCGGTCAGTGTCCCTAATCGTCGTCGTGCGTTTTGCCAGCTACAGTGGGCTGTTTGGGACGTCGATGAGTTACCCCGCTGGGGTCCGCTCGGAATGCGGTGCCGTGCGCACGTGCAGTGCCCCTGGCAGCTTCCATTCAAGGGCGTTTTGCTACAGGGTGTTTTCTTGACCTCGGCATCGTTTCACGGATCCCCATCCCCATCTCCATCCCCTTCGAGAGCCCCACCAAGTTACCACCCCAGTTGGGGAGACGCCCCTCGAATCCCGCAGAGAGCGACCTCTGCCCCTTATCTGGGGGGATACAGTCGGGGCCCTGAAGAAGGAACCCTTTTCGTTAGGGAGGGGCTCCGCGTTCCTTAAGTGTTTCGCAGCTTGCCTCAGGTTTTCCTTATGTTTTCGATCGGAAATCGAAGGTTGACTTATGGAGAAAAAAAGGGGCCTCGTTCCTTATTTAGGGTTCCTTAGATCAACGCCCCAGCTGGACATCGGGCAGCGGAGCCCAGGCCACGCCGCTGGGGATGGGGATCGGTTCAGCGATCCTCACTGGCCCTCGGCCCTGGAAGTCTGCGAAGAGTTCTCGGAGCGGCGCTGTGGACCACCCTGGCGCGCTCCGCTCGCCAGGCGCAGCCGCTCCAGGAAACAGCTGCGCGGGCTTCCGGAAGGCCCCGGCGCCAGGCGCCTTTCTCGGTCGGGAGCCTCGAGACGGGGGTCCACGCAAACGGGGGTCAGCCAGAGCGCCGGATCTTGCAGGATCCTGCAGGGCCAGGGTCGGCGTTGACCCGGGTTTGGGTGCAGCATCCTGCAGGATCCTGCAGATCCTGAGCACTGACCCGGGCTTGGGTGCAGGATCTTGCATGATCTCGCAGGATTCTGAAAGGCCTGACTGACCCGGGTCTGGATTGACCTGGGTCAGTGAGTCCCCGACGAGGAAACCCAGCCAACGCGAAGTGGTTCGCTGAACCCGCCCACCTTCGGTAGCAAATCATGGGACCCTGGTGTGCCCTCTCAATTCCGTCTTTGGCGTCGACCAGCGACTGGGAGTCGATGAGATTGCGCCGATGTAGCGGCGTTCAGCGCCGATTAGCATCAATTGAGCGTCGATTTAGCGTCGATTAGCGTCGATTCGCAAGAGCCTTCGATATCAGGGTTGGGTTTCTTGTGGACTGGCCTCCACCGTATTCGACGGTGCAGGGCTCGGTGGAGGCCCCATGCAGGGGCCGCAGCACAGCGACAGACCTTCCGTCGCTGTTTTCGTTCACGACGCGAGGAGAGACTTGTGATACCTTACCCTCCAGGGCTCGCTTCGATTGGAGGCCTACCAGCCAGCCGATATCTGCCGATTCGACGTTTCCCGACTCGGCTGCCGATTTCCGTCGATTCGATTCGTGTCGATCGTCGATCCGACTCGTCGATTCGGTTCTGGGCTCCTCTGCCCCCAGGCTGGAAGGCGCCCTTCGCTGCCTCTTCGGGCATGTCGTGGAGCGACGGGGTCCATACATGCCCGGTGCCCCTGGCGCCCCGGGAAGGCCCATCGTGGGCTCCAGGAGCAGTGCACTTGCCTCCCTGGCAAGGTCAGTAGGGCAGTTACATTGCCATGACGAAAGTTTCCATCATCCCTGGTTCGCAATGACTGCTAGTCGGTGGGGTAGGCGGGGTATGATCTTTTCCGCGTGACAGTGCGTCCCGGGCGATCATGTATACGGTTGGGTGCGGGGTAGGTCTTGGCCCTCATGAACCACCTCCGCCGAATTCCGCCAGCCGCGTGTATGCCAGGAACCTGGAGGGGCGGGAGACTCGTCGATGGTGGGAAGATGGTGGAGCACTCCTGCCACTACGGGGCCCACAGGTATACACCACCACCGCCACCTCCCTCATCCCCTCTCCCTCTCCCAGGAAGGAGGAGGGGAGGGCGAGGGTGGAGGAGGGAGGAGGAATCGACGTGGTGGTGGTGTATATTCTTGGCAGTGTGCACAGCCGCGCAGCCCGCAGCCACGGCAGTGCGCACAGCGCCTGGACCCGCGATGGGCCGCGGGCCGTGGACCTGTCTGGACCTCTCGCCGCCCTCGGGCCGTGGCGCCGAGGTGTGTGTTTTTGTTCCACGCGCGGCCCAGAGCCAGTTTTGCGCCCCGGGGATCCCCTGTTCGGAAGGTACCTCCTCCTCCTCCTCCTCCTCCTCCTCCTCCTCCTCCTCCTTCCGCCTTCGTTCTCCTTCCCCCTCCCTCCTCCTCTTCCTCCTTCCTCCTCCCTCCTCTTCCTCCTCCTCCTCTCGGGGCTGTAGGACGAACGAGGACACAGTAAACATCCATTGTGAGACGGGTAACCTTCCCAAGGGCACCCTTTGCGCCCTTAGATTTGTTCGGCAGTGCGATGCAAGAAAAGCTTCACCTGGGGCGTCCAAGGGCCGTCCAGGGGTCTTGCGTCCTTGCAGCGCGTCCTTACTACTACAGCTTTTGATTGTACATCCGTTCCAGAGCGTTCCGGAACGCCCTCAGAGCGCTCCAGAAGGCTCGTACCCTCGTCCTGGCTGTGTCTTCATGGACGGTCTCGGGGCCCGCGGACGACCCCCAAGAAACGCCGAGGGCGAGGAGCAGCGCCCCGACGGACAACGTGAGAGAGCACCGCTCCTCGGAGACGTGGGCCCCCGCGGCCTTCCGACAGGATGGCGCCCTTCTCCACATCCTCGCGCACGTCCTGGAGCTGGGGGAGCGAGCAATGGCATGAGCATAAAAGCTCGAAGGTCCGAGCGGATTTCTCGGATCCGCGCTGGACCCCTCTCCCTGGCGTGCGGAGCGCGCCAGGGGCGGCGCCGTAGGCGCCGCCAGGGGGGTCCAGCGCGGATCCGAGAAATCCGCGCGGACCTCCGAGCTTTTATGCTCATGTCGCTCTTCGTGCCCCTAGGAGGAGCACGCACCTGTCCTCGACCAGCAGCTCGCGCTCGCCCTGGGGCGCCGGTATCATCGGCGCCCGGCCCTCGCCCGGCACGCAGGCGCAGCTCGCGGAGGCGGTGGGTTGCCTGACCACCAGCGCCGAGGTTCTCGGGGAGGGAAAAGAAGGGGTACCCGTACCCATGCCGCCAGGCTGGGGACGGACGCATAATACCAATGACACGCGCGTCATCCCTCAAACTGTGCCAGAGGAGCGACCACGGCCATAAACATAAAAACTCGGAGGTCCGCTCGGATTTCTCCGACCGGCGCTGGACCCCCCCTGGCGGCGCCTCCAGCGCCGCCCCTGGCCTGCTCCGCGCGCCAGGGAGGGGGGTCCAGCGCGGATCCAATAAATCCGCGCGGACCTCTGAATTTGTATGTTCATGTCATTGTTCGTCCCCCTAACGCTCGGGAGGGATACAAATGACACGCGCGTCATCCTTCAATTTGTGCGTGTCAAGAGCTCGCTTCTTGTTCAACGGCCTGGTACCTTCCCAACAGGGGCAGGCTGATCGGGTCTTCCGACCAACGCGACATCGATCTTGTTTTTGCTCTCTGGGCTATCCATCCGCGCCGTGAAGAAAAATGGAAAACCAGCCCCGCGGAAGAAAAGGTCGGGACTTCGGGAGTCCGCACAGAGCAGACCGAGACATAGCACCGGTATGCAGATACCGTTTCTGTTAGAATCACCTGTCGCTCGTTTTCGCCTTCTTTGGCCCCTTGGGCAACGATTTTTTTGTCAAAACGCACCCGTGGAGGTCCGGGGAGTAGCGGTATCGGCAGAATGACCCTACGTCGGAGTGACGTTTGATGCTGGCCAGCAGACCGCCCCCCCCGGGCAGTGCTTGCGCGCATGGATCTGGCCCTCCCGCGGCCCTCTGAAGCCGCGCAGCAAAGGCCGTTTTTGCTTAGGATATTATATATCTCTATATATATACATATATGTATGCATATATATATATATATATATCTATATATGTACATGTGCACATATATATATATATGAAAAGTTATATCTCTCTCTCTGTCTCCCCCTCTCTATTTGTATGTATGTATATATGTATATCTGTGCTAATAGGCCTTTGGCGGAACTCCCCATGAGGCCACGAAGCGCTGTGCTGGGCGGGGGAGAAGCATGCGGCCGCGGTCACTGGAACGTTCGGTGGAGCTCCCGATTCGGGCCACGAAGCGGTATATCGGGTGGGGGAAACGCATGCGGACGGCGGTCACTGGGACCTTCGGTGGAG